TTTTTTTCTCAAAGATCTTATAGTATTGTAGGGGCAGAAAGATCTCAAACAAGTTCATAAGAGTTTCTTAAATGCCAAGACAATAATATGGCCCACAGAAATCCTGGCCTTGTTTTGCCTCTCACTTTAGCCTTGTCCTCTTTTGGCAAGAGAGTGTCCAGAGATGCTTTGGGTTTATTGGACTTTGCCAGCAAAGTTTAATTAGGAAAAGGGATTGGTTGATCTCTTTCACTTGGATTTGAAATTAAAAGAAGAAAGGAAAGAAGGATGTCATTTCCTGCCTTGTTTCTTCTTTTCCTAGTCAACCTATACTGAGAGATTTTTTTTTCTTTCCTCAGTGTGTTAGATGTTAGACTAGCTTCTAATGAGATTATATAATTAACTCTTTCACATAATCACTGTTGAAAGACTAAGTTAATGCCTTAGGAAATACATATTTTTGTACACATATTCAATAAAGTGGATTCAACTTAATAAATGTTTCTGTTCAAGAAACTTCAAAAGAATGATGGTAAGTCCTAGCAAAATGGAGCACTAGGCTTCCTGATGCATAAATATAGAGTCAAAGCATGTATATTAAATGAAACAAACAAAAAAAAGAAACAAGGTATAGTTACTATGACAGTTATCTGGAATTACATATTATAACCACTTACAATAATTAATAGAATAACTAATGCTATTTTGTGTTGGTCTTCAGAATCATGGCTTTTTGACTCATCTGTCCTCTCTGATAGCTTCAAATTAAGTTCTGTCATAATATTTCCAGGAGTTTCAAAAGCAATTTTTACTAAGAGGTACAAAGTCCTTTTTGCAGTTGTCTTTCAAATTTAATAAAATGTTTCAGTTTTACTTTTGTCTAAAATGGTTATTATATTATACATTCAAATAATGGGGACTTTCCTTAAGACTACCAGATTTTATGTTTGAAAATTCTGGATGAAGTCTAATTTATTTTTTTCTGTCATCAGTGGAAGGTGAATATAGATAAGCTTATTTAACACTTTGGTATATACTCTTCCAGACCATAATATATATATCCTCTCTACTTAAAACATTATTTTATATGTTTAAGCACATTTTTAAAGGGTTATATAATATCCCTTAGTTTGGGCATACCATTATTTATTTAATGGAGCAACTAAAGGAGATAAACATCTTTTTTTCTATTTATAATTATATTCCATGCTACGAGGAATATTCTTTGTTTTAGTTTTTGTTCTGTGTGTGTATGTTACGAGGGATTTAGCCCAGATAATTCCCACTAAGCTACACCCTCAGCTCTTTTATTTTTTATTTTGAGAAAGGGTCTGGTTAAGTCCCTAAGTTGCCCAGGCTGAGCTTAAATGTGTAATCCTCCTGCGTCAACCTCCTAGAGCACAAGGACTACAGTCATACACCACCATGCCTAATTTTCTTGTGTGTGTGGTATTGGGAGGATCAAACCCATCGGTGCTGTGCCACTGAGCTATACCTCCAGTCCTTTTTAATTTTTGATTTTGAGACAGGGTCTCACTAAGTTTCTCAGGCTTGCTTCAAACTTGACATCCTCCTGCTTTAGCCTCCTGAGAAGCTGGGGTATCAGGCATGCACCAACTTGCCCAGCATGAGGAACATTCTTGTAGCTAAAGCACTGTATGCATTCTTAATTGTTTCTTTAGGATAAATTTCTAAAATTGGAATTGCTAGAGAAATTGAAGATCTGAATCCTGTTGCTATCCTATCAGTGACTTATAAAAGCACCAATTTTCTTACACACTTAATAATTGCTATCCTTTAACACTGTCAATTATGAAATATATATAATAACATTGGGAAAATGTAGGAAAAAATAACTAAAATTGTATTTCTCTAACATGGCTATTATTATATTTGTTATAATATTCTAGGCTTTTGTCATATGCATAAATTGGTGTAATTACCCAAGAAGTTTTTATTTTCTGCTTTTTAAATTCATTGTTAAGTATTTCCTATTTTTGCTTGGCCTTCATAATTCCAATTTCTAATAGCTACATGATAGCACAATAAATATTTATCTAATGATTGCCCTATTCCTGGACAAGTAACTTGTTGCCAGTTTGTGTTAATGTAATATTTCAATAAAAACAAAGATAACTACCAATTCATTGAACATTTACTATGAAACAAGATGTACACTATATGTTTTTACATGATACTTTTGGAGGGATTGATGTTCAGGATGGTAATCCTCAGTGGTAATATCAGGTGACAAACTTTTTTATAGCACAGCCTTTCTTCTCAAGTTATTCTTTCTTATTTTCCTACCTTCATACATTTATTGGGAGGCTAATCTGTGCCAGGAACTATACTAAGAGGCACCAAGAATATAAAATGAATCAGATGGAGTCCTTAGAGTTGGACATTAAATGTACATGATAAAGAAATATGATAAAAGGCATGATTGCCTGATGGTTCTCTGTCCATTCATTTATTCACTTATGTATACATCGCCTATTTTGCCTCTGAAGCATGAGAAAGAGGTAGTTGCAGACAATGTAACATTTTCCCTTAAATATTTCAGTATAAGAATATCAGCTAGGGATATAATTCACTTGCCTATCATAGGCAAGGCCCTGGGTTCAATCTCAGTGCATGTGTGCACATGCACACAAATATACACACAGGGCATTTTCTTAAATAGCCACAATACTGTGACCAAATTTAGAGAATTAAACACAGATAAACTACTATTATCTAATCTGTTGTCCACATTGAAATGTTACCTATCATTTGAGGGCCACAGATATAGCTCAGCTGCACAGCGCCTGCCTGGCAAGCGTGAGGTTGTGATTTCAGTTCCCAGTACCAAAACAAAAATGTTACCATTTGTTCAGAGAATGTCCTTTGTAGCAGCTTCTCCCAGTCATTGCCTTCTTTGACATCTCTTTTGTTTCCTTTGGTCTGGTATAGCTCCTCAGTCATCCTTTATCTTTCATAACATTGATATTTTTTGCCAAGCATGGTGGCGCACTCCTCTAATCCTGCACTTGGGAGGCTGAGGCTGGAGGATGGTTGCAAGTTCAAGGCCAGCCTGAACTGCATAGCAAGACCCTGTCTCAAAAAGAAAAAGAAAAAAAAAAAGACAGAAAAAAACCATTGATTTTTTTTTTTTTTTAAGGTGAAGGCTAGTTATTTTGTAGAATGTCCTTCAATTTGAGTTTGTCTGCTTTCCTCTTTTTTAGATTCAGATTATAAATTTTTTTGTTGGATTACCACAATGCAAATTATGTTGGTTTGTTCCAATAATGGAGAGGTTACATGTGGTTAAGATGGGGTGTTCCAAGTTCTTCCACAGAAAAGTTAAACATTTTTTGCCTTTGTAATTGAAAAGTACTCTGTAGGGAGACAGTTTTAAACTACCTATTATTCATCCAACTTTTGCCCTCCAGTTTTAGCATCCCTTTATGATTTTCTAGCTCCATCATCAGTCCTTATAGTTATTAATTGTGTTTTTACTGTAAAAGGTTTCCCTTTCTTACTTACTTGTTTGTATCAGTATACATTTATGGATTCTTATTTTATGGAATGGATTATATTCTTTTATTATTGTTATTTAATTTGATACTGAAATTAAGATTTGAGATACTGAAATCCCAGATTTGGGCAGTGGAAACTCCTTCACATTGGCTTCTGTGTGTTTTTGGTATGTCCCATAATTATTTGAGCAGGTTTTTTTTCTTTTTGGCATAGTAATGCTCATCTTATACTTTCCTTGTCCCATTGCTAAAGTCAGCCATTTCTCCAAGGAACCCTCATCTTAAGTTTAGAAGCCAAGATGTGAGGTAGCATATATACTTTTTCTGAGTCCCCAAGACAATTTTGCTGTTTCTGGAGCCCACCGCCATAAAGGCTTTTATATAGAAATTCTGTCCAGATATTTGCTAACTGGACAGGACTCAGGAGAGGTAAAAATAGTCTGGGCAGGTGGAGGAACATATTCATAATATATGGAAGATCCCAACTCATACAGAGGAACTAAAATTTAACGTAGTTTCAAGAAGAGAGATGAAAATAAGAGAATCAAGCAGAGTTTAAAAAACAAGTTCATCAAGGATTATTTTCTACCTGGAAGAATTTAACTTTTTAAGAGATGAGAAACCAGGGTATACCTGGTTAGGGAAATAATCTCTTTTATTAAAGTTGCATTCTAAGATCCCTCTGTGCTGTCACCAGTGGCAGTGCATAGAGGATAGATTAGGCAAATATTTAAAATTATTTTCTGACAGTACTGTTATATTATTATGTACATTCTTTTTTATTTTTTTATTTTTTGAGATGGGGTTTCACTGTGCTGTTCAGGCTGGCTGTGAACTCACTTTGTAGCCCTGGCTAGCCTGAAACTTGCAGTGATCCTCCTGCCTCAGCCTTCTGAGTGCTGGGATTATAGGCATGCACCACCAAGCCAGGCATTTACATTCTTAATGGAAGTTTGAGTCATTGATTTATCTTCCTGTGGAATGGCAGTATACCATCTTTTGTTTTTTGTTTTGCCTTTTTGAGACAGGGTTTCACTATGCCATTCAGAGTGGCCTTGAACTCACTTTATAGTCCAGGCTGGCCTCGAACTCACAGCAATCCTCCTGCCTCAGCCTCCCAAGTGCTAGAATTACAGGCATGTGCCACCATGCCTGGCCCAGTATATTATTGTTTAAGTAGCAGTTTTACAGCCAGGACTGGAAGCTCAATAATAATGTTCTCTGTTGAAAAATAACAAACAAAAGTACATGAAACAGTGCTAATTTTTAAATGAAAAATCTTGAAGAATCTAAGATACATTTTGATATATTGCTATGTTTTTATATTCAGTAATATTATAAATAATAAGACTGATATAGACATTCAATAATAAAGACATTCTACCTTGCAAGGCTACCAAAATTTGAAATGTAACAATCCTGTTTTTGAAATAGTAGTAAATTATGTGCTTAGCATGAGTTTTGATATTATCATAACAGCTTTTATTTCTGTACTACTAACAGGCTGTATCCCAATTGGCTGGAGCTGAACAACAAGCAGCTCTTCAAAAACCAGATTTAGTTCGAAGGTAAGTATCAAGACATGAAAACATTGAGTATATACTGAAGTGTATGCAGTAATTAGTGCTTAGTGTATCTCAACTAGAAGAAGCTTTAGTGTTCTTATATTTGTGTGCAGGTTTAATAAAAATTGCAGGCATTTTTTTACTTTTAAAATATTAATACAGATAGTATGGATTTTTAAATTAACATTTTCTTAGTCTATAGTATTCAATTGTAAGGAAGCTTAGAAGACTTAAAAAGGAAATAAGAGCTGTGTATGGTGGTACATACCTAGAATCCCAACACTCTGGTAGGCTGAGGCAGAAGAATCCAAAGCCCAGCCTGGGCAATTTAGTGACTTAGCAAGATTCTGCTTCAAAATAAAAACATTTCAAAAGGACTAGGAATGTAGCTCAGTGTGAAGGCCCTGGATAAATCCCTAGTGTCATAAAAGAAAACATAAGGAAATAAATAATACAATTTAGAGTAAAAGTCTAGCTAATCCCAAGTAATAAATTACAGCCAAATATATAAGTGTATTATTACTTGGTAGCTGTAAACTAGTATTTTTCTGCACGTTGTTCTGATTAATTTCTATTATTCTGTCTTTTAAGTTCTCTGATTCTTTCCTTTGTCCTATTTGTGGCATTTGTATCCCTTTGCCCACTCAGTGACTTTTAAAAAAATTTCTGATTACATGTTTAGTTTTATAATTTCCATTTGGTTTTTAAAATATCTTTTATTTGATGAAATTTTGATTTTCTCATTTGCTTCAAGAATATATATAATTGTTTGTTGAAGCTTTTTTGTGGTATTGAGGATTGAACCCAAATCCTCATACACACAAGGCAAGGTCTCTACCACCTAGCCACATCCTCAGGCCTTCAATAAATCATTTTGATGATGGCTGCTTTAATATCCTTTCAGATAATTATAATACCTGATTTATCTTGGTGTTAACACCTATTGATTGGTATTTTTCCATTCAAGTTACGATTTTCCTCATTTTTGGTGTCAGAAAAATTTATTTTTATTTATATTATGGGCATTTTGAATATTAGGTGACTTTGGATCCTACTTATATCTTCTATTTTAGCATGTATTTGCACAGGTCCTGGCCTATTTTCATGGTGATATAGGGGAAAGAAACTCCTAACCTGCTAGATGTCTGGTATAAGTTTGTGTTCTCTAAAATTGAAGAATGAATTTTAGGAACAATGGAGGTTAAGAGCAGAATATATTTATTAGGGGAAAGAAAGCTTCTGTCCAAGACAGAGACAGAAGGGGACCCAAGTGGGTTGCCAAAGACCCTGCATTTCCTAGGGATTTTATAGAGCAAAACCACAAGGTGAGGTGTGTCCAAAGTGGGAAATATGGTGCAAGGTGGGCATCAGGTGGGACAAAACTATGGTCAACCAGTAAAATTACAAGCATAATTACTCAGGTAAAATTGATTACATGGGGATCAAATGGGGAAGCAAGTCACATAGCAAGCAGGCATGAATACAGAACAGGGACTTTTCCTGTAGGGGGTTGGGTTAGTGGCTTTTCCTGGCTTTCTCAAGGTGATGGATACCTATTTAGAATATCAATCCTTGATGTTTACCCTTAGGAAGTATGTGGGTGCATTTGTTTTATCTTTTGTCTTGAGGTCAGGCCCACAGTGGAGGTGCCTATCTCCCCCACAGCTGCAAGACATCTGTTCTTCTGCACTGGCTCCTCTGAGGGCCTAGCCTTGTCTGACTACCTACAATATTTCTATCTAACTCAGTTACCTACAACGAGATGTGGTTCTAATGACAATGTAGTTTTCAGAATAATTATCCTATTCTTGTAGTAATTCTTGTAATAATTCTTGTAATAATTATCCTATGCTTTCTTCACCTGGCACCCCTATCCCTCACCATTGGACTAAAGGGTACAAAGTTCTCTGGGCCTGAAATCCTGGCCACATTCTACTGCTGTGGCTCGTTCTAGGGCCACTGGGGAAGGAAGAGGCCTGTTTAAGCCATCTTCTGCTGTAGGGGTGGGCATCAGGAGACAATGTGTTTGGGCTGCTTGCACCTTGACTGGAAATCAGTAGACTGTGAGCTGTGACTACCTTTTGTCACAGGGTGGGTGTTGGGAGATGCCAAGCCGCTATATTTTTTCAAGTCCTGGGGATCTCTAGACAGTGTGCTTTCCTCTTTTCATTTTTAGTGCCTGCATGGGATTGCCTACTGTATTACATATTTTCATATTTCTTTTAGCTGTACTTAAGGGAAATAAGAAAAGTTGAGTTTTTGCCATCATGATCCAAACCGTAATAAAGGTTTTTTTATGGTTACTTTGGAATATACACAATTTAGCCCATTGAGTAAAATTATGTCTCTCTCTTCCTCTAAAGATATTGTTACTGCCATTTCTCGGTATATTTAAAACCTCTAGGATCAGTATTACTTATTTAAAATAAATTTTTTTTGTAGTACTGGAGACAGAAACCACACCCCTAGCCCTTAGGGAAAAGTATTAGTCTACCACTTGTATTTATGTAAAAAAAAAAAAAATTAGTATTTTTTTATCTCTTTTTTTGTGTATCTTTATACACTTGCTTTGTGAATTGTTTTTAGAAGGGCCTACCTAAAAGTTAATTTTAAAAATATCTATTTGAAAAAAGGATCTCTTGTGGGGAGCAATTATTGGGGATTAAACCGAAGTCCTTCACACTTACTTACACTCCAACTCTTCTTCTATTTTGAGACAGGGTCTTGGTAAATTCCCCAGACATGCCTCAAAATTATGATTCTTCCTGGTTTGGCCTCCCAGAGTGCTGAAATTATAGGTATATGCCAATGCCAAAGCCAGCTCGCCTATCATCCCAGTACTCTGGGAGGCTAAGTCAGGCAGCTCACAAGTTCAAGGTCCAGCCTGGACAACTTAGCAACACCCCATCTTAAAATAAAAAGATTGAGGATGTGTAGCTCAGTGCAAAGGCTAGGGTTTGATCCCCAGTACTGCAAAAAAAGAGATAAATTTATTGAAATATAGTTTTTATACTATACAATTTACTCATTGAAAGTATATGATCCAGTGGTATTCGTATGTTCAGAGCTGTGAAATCATAAATTTAAAAATATATTGTAATATTTGTTTATTTTTCCATAAACTTGTTATTTATAATTTTATAATTGGAAGTTTTTCTTAGATTTTTACTATCACAATTTGAATGAGTTCCTTTTTTAAAAAATTATTAGCTTGAATCAAGATGTGGCAGCTATGAAAGAAAACACCTATAACCCTGATAATCCAAGTGGAAATGGCAAACCGGATCGGATCAAACAGAGAAGAGCTTCCTGTCCCCGACCAGAGAAGGGGACTAAATTTCAGCTTACTGTTCTTCAGGTCAGTGTGTAGGTATGGTTTGGTTACAGGTACATGTAGAGGTCTTGGAGGGCCGGGAGAAGCAATACAATGGAAGCAGATGTAGAATATTGTGGAACTCTCTGTAAATTAACTTTCCTTCATTAAAATATTTCTAATAGGAATATTATGTGTTAATTGATTAACTTGGAGAATATAGGATAAATATGAGGAAGAAAATAAATATCACTTATAATCACCACTCAGAGATAGCTCCTGCGAGCATTTTAGTTTGTTTTCATTTTTTCTTATATGTATGTGTAGAATGTTACAGTATTAAGACTGTAATGATATTAGTCTAGTAGCGAAAATGTATTGAATTCTTCTGTGGTAGGCACCCTACATGACATTTTATCACACAGCCATTTTATCATGTAATCCTTCCAAAGCTCTGTGTGATAGGTAGAAGTATACTTATCTTTACAAATGAGGATACTGCATATCAAAGAAATACTTTGCCTAAGATCATTGAACTAGCAAGTGATCAAGTGAGATCTGAACCTATATCAGATATTAAAGCCCATATCTCCAGTCAATATGATACCAATTTCAAATGGCTGTTTAAACCTACATGCAATTTTATATCCTCTCTCTCTAAAAACATAATATCATGTATATTTTCATGTGTCATTATTTTTAAATATTATATTTTAAGTGACTGCATTAAACAGTCATTTGTGCGAGGATATAGTTTAGTCATTCCTCTACTGTTCATTCTTTCTGTCTTTCTGTCTCTCTTTCTCTATGAACCAAACATCCTATAACATGTTTTTTTGTATCTATCTCTTATTATTTCCTTATGACATATCCCTAAAAGTAAAACTAGTGGATTAAAGAGTATGATAATTTGGAAGCTGCAGGTATAGCTCAGTGGTAGAGCATGTGCTTAGCATGTGCAAGACGCTGAGTCCTCTCCAGCAACAAAAAGTATGAAGCTTTCATAAGTTTCTAAATACTAGCTAGAATAAGAGACTTTGATAAATGAATGATAGAACTTAGTTACTGTGTTCCACATTGCTATAGTGATTTTTGTAAATTTTTTCTTTGTTATAGAAGTTTTGTTTCATTTTTCCATGGGGTCACATTTATGACATGTTTTTACTGAGTAATTTGTTTGTATTATATTTACTGTGGAATGGATGTTTAGGTGATAGATAGTTCACCATGGGAAAATATAATGTTGCTAGAATCTGAAGGATTGCTGGGCATGGTAGTTTATACCTGTATTGCTAGCACACGGTAGGCTGAGGCAAAAGGATTACCATGAGTTCAAAGGCCAGCCTGCACTACATAGTTAGACCTTGTCTCAAAAAACCAAGGAAAAATGATCCTGAAGTATTTTTTTCTCTTTTTTGTTTATTTTTTATGATTCTGAAGTATTTAAACCAGTTCCATGCATATTTTATGTAAAATCATCTAGATAGTCCATACATAATTTATAAAGAGAAGACAGTGATTCTTAAACTGATGAAATGTGTGCTCTTAGGTGTCAACTTCTGGAGACAACATGGTAGAATGTCAACTGGAGACTCACAACAACAAGATGGTTACCTTCAAATTTGATGTTGATGGTGACGCACCAGAGGATATTGCAGACTATATGGTAAGTATAGAAAATCAAATTACTTTCCCTTTGGCATTCTCTGTCTCTTTATTTTCTCTAGTTCCTCCTCCATTGATTAAGAGCCATTTGTTTTTAAAGAGCATGGTTAGTTTTTAAAATCTCTACAGAGCCAAATTGGTTGTGATTAGGAATAAGTTTCTGCATTTCCTCTGGCCATCAGTATATTTATCTGGAAAATATGAGAGCATACTCTTTTTAAAATCTCTCACTATATGATAAAATCATTGATAAGCTTTTTAACCATTATTTTGTTGCACAAATCCCTGATTACATCAGGATCTTTTGGGGTAAAATCTAAGCATCAGTAGTTTGTCAAGCTACTCAGGTAATTCTACTGTGTTAGCCAGGGATGTAACATCATTAATGTAAGTTATGTTCTTACCTCATTAAATTTTTAACATTTTCTTTGAATGGGTAGGCTTAAGTTAGTGTTTTTCTTCTTTTTTAATAGAGATGTGTCTAGTTTCACGTATAGAATGCAAACTGTTTTTGCTTCTGCATTGCTACATTACTAAGTAGAAATAAGTAATAATTTTATCAGTTCTATCTCTTAACATAATATTTTCTGAAATGTCACTTTTTTCATATTTTTTATGTGTAGTAAGCCTAACTGTACCATTATTTATCATCTCAGTTTTTTGCGCTACTAGAGATTGAACCCAGGGCCTTCATGCTGAGCTGCATGCCTCCTCTTACCATTTTTAAATTTTTTTGAGACACAGTCCTACTAAATTTGCCAAGTGGCCTAGGCTGAGCTCAAACTTGAGACCCTCCTGCCCCAGCCTCTCAGAGTACTGGAATGACAGGCAGTGCCACCAAGTCCAGCTTATCATCTTTGAAGATGCTTCATTTTGTAATATGTGTGGATTATAATTTTTTAGATTTGGACATCCTACTTTTAAATGGTGCCTCAGTTACACTGTTTAAACAACACCCAATTTATAGAACTCCAGATATTTTGAAAAATACTGGCTTCTTATAGATTGCTCCAGACAATGGCATTTCATTGGTGGTCTTATGATACTTGGATTTAGATAACTCCTTTTTTTCTTTCTGGTAATAAGCATTAATACAGTATTATAATTTTGAAGAAACTAAATTCTCGTGTATAGACTGACTTTTATTTTGGGCCAGGTTGAAGATAATTTTGTGTTGGAAAATGAGAAGGAAAAATTTGTGGAAGACTTGAGGGCTATTGTAGGTCAAGCCCAAGAGATTCTTCATGTCCATTCTGCTGCAGAAAAATCCGTGGGAGTTGACTCTGTTACCTTGGAATCCAACAGTAACCAAGTAAGAGCAATTGTTTAGCAAGTAGGTCTTTTTTGATATGTGTTAGGAACTTCATTATTTATCTATTCATTTTTAATTCAGACAGGATCATCTGAACAAGTACAGATAAATTCTGCATCCACTCAACCCAGCAGTAAGTATATTTACTAAAATTTATAATTTTCCTTTTGAAGCAAGACATTTGGAAACTTAATTTATATACCTTCATTGAAAAACATGTTAGCCAATAAAGTAACTTGATAAGTTTGTTATTTTTCCACACTTTTAAAGGACTAGATAGCTCAGAGATAAGAATCAATTCTCCAAATTTCCTCCAAGTGTTGGTTCTTTATCTGATTAACTTATTTCTAGGTTGTTGTATGGCATGTTACCAGAAAAGCAGTCACAGTACTGATGACCTTTAATGGCCTGTTTCAAACAACTGATAAGTTGTTCTTTTCTGATAAAAGATGGATAGAAAGTTTCCGAAGTAAAATTATTATGTTCTAAATTTGCCTTTTGTAGGCCGGGCGTGGTGGCACACACCTGTAATCCCAGTTCTCGGGAGGCTGAGGCAGGAGGATCGTTGTGAGTTCGAGACCAGCCTGGGCTACAAAGTGAGCTCAAGGCCAGCCTGAACTGCATAGCGAGACCCTGTCTCAAAAAGACTAAAATAAAATAAAATAAAGTTGCCTTTTGTTTTAGTAGTCATTCATATCTTGATTTTATCCCACCAGTAATAATGCTTCTACTGGCTGTGATCACTCACTTTTTGTAAATCAGTTACCAGATATACATACAGATACTAAAACTGGGGTTCTTGTGTTTTCTTTTTGGATAACTTAATCTCTCTATTCTTCTCAGCTCTGCTCATGGGTATATAAAGAGTGTCTGGGAGGGGGAGAAGAACCATAGACACATGAAAACCTCTAAAGGACTTTTAACAGCGTGAGGAAGCAAAAGGTGGTGTGAGAGTAATGGAACTAGATGTTGTCAGAAATTTAGTTTGACTGTGTTAGGATGACAGAGTCTTTCTCCATCTTATTTTTCTGGTTAGCAGAGATCTGAGCAGTTTTCTAACGGACAAAGTAGAGGGTTAAGTTTTAAAGAAACTTACTTAAGTTTACAGAGCAGGAATTAAAATGTAGGGATTTGTTTTACTTTGTTTACATGGTTATACAGTAAAATTAACTTCTAATGTATTGTTTTGTAAATATCAGTGCTTGTATTGATTTAAGTACCACTGTAAACAGGATACCCAACAGGAGACACAGGGTGTTTTCGTTTTTGTCCTGTTTTGTTTTGTTGCACTGGGGATTTAACCCAGGGTGTTCTCCTTGAGCTACACCTCCACTGGAGACAGTGTGTCACTAAGTTGCTAAGTTATTCTATCTGGGCTTAAATTCATAATCCTCCTGTCTCAAGAGATGTAAGTTTTGATGGAAAAATGCTTTCCACTTTTTTTCCAGAAAACTAAAGAGTGTCTTGCTTCTAATTACTAATGATAGATACTGTGTGCTTAGTTCTTTATTTTTATTATTTTTTTTTAGTTCTTTAGACTATTTGTCAAGGTTGAGAGATATGGTCTTATAATTATTCAAATATTGTTGGAAACAGAAATACCAAACTGGTTTTCTAATCTGGTTTCCTTAATAAGGTAAACAAATTGACAGTTGCTTAGCATATTAATTTTTTTGCTAATTCTTTCTGTAGATGAATCTGCTCCTCAGTCATCCCCAGTTGGTCGCTGGAGATTTTGTATCAATCAAACAATAAGAAACCGGGAAGCTCAGTCTCCCCCTCTTCAGCCTTCGATGGCTACAGTTCCAGAGCTACAGCCATTTCCTTGTAAGCTTTCATTCTCTGCTAGCTTTGCCTAGACTCAGAAGATACGGATGCAAAATATATAACATATCTTTATCATGTTTTCATGGGTATATTGTGCTTATGACAATTTTCATAAGCATTTTTGAAAGCATTTATGTTAGTATACAATTTAAGCCATTTTTAAATATTTCTGAAAAAAAGAAAAAGATGTTTTTCTTTGACCAGTTAAATTTTGTGATATTTTGAGTCTTACTTACAAGAGTACTCTCACACAGGTTTTCATTTGTCTCTCTCTCTTTTTTTTGTACTAGAAATCAAACTCAGGACCTTGCACTTACCAGGCAGGCACTGTACTCCTGAGTTATATCCCTGGCCCTCTCATTTGTCTCTTGCTTTTCATGTTCCTTTTGAGTTTGGTACTACTCCATGTGTTTTACTTATTAGTACATACTTAGCTATTCCTTTGTTATTGTTCCAGGCTCAAGGAACACAAATAATAAGGAAATATCACAGGATACATTGCTCACTATAGAAAATAATCCATGCCAGCGTGCACTTTTCACCTCCAAAGCAGAACATAAGGATTTAGTTGATGGTAAGATCTCTGAACGTGCTAGTGTAGAAACCAAGCAGCCAGCTATACTTTATCCAATGGAAGATGACAGGCAGATAATGGCACCAAGTACTGGTAATTCTACTTATTCTGCTACTTCGGTTTGTACAGTTCCAGTCAAATGTGATGGACTCACCAGCCAAACAGGTATGTTCATGCCTGTGTATCCATGTCATCAAGCTTCTAGTCAGACTAATGTGTTCATGGCCCATTCTGGCGAATCAACTCAGACTACTGATGACCCCGTTACGACATCAGCACTTGTGTCTGATCAAAAGCCTCAATCCTTATTAGTACAGCAGCCAACTACTGATGCAGAGTTTATTTCCCAAGAAGGAGAAACAGCAGTGAATACTGAAGCAAGTTCTCCTAAGGCAGTCATTCCCACTCAGACCCCTGGCCTTGAAGCAACTACCCTTCTGCCCATTACTATCTTGGAATCAGATGGGGAAAGACCTCCAAAAATGGAGTTTGCAGACAACCGAATTAAAACTCTGGACAAAAAATTAAGAAACCTGCTCTATCAGGAGCACAACACCTCTAGCATCTATTCTGAGAGTCAGAAGGATACCCAAAGCATAGAATCTCCATTTTCTTCTTCTGCTGAAGACACACTTTCCTGTACAGTGCCAGAAGTCATAGCCATCAGTCACTGTGGAATCCAAGATAGCCCTGCACAATCTCCTAATTTCCAACAGGCAGCCTCTAATATTCTGTCCAGTGTGGCTGCGAGTCAGCCTGCTGGCATATCAGTGTTCAAAAGCGACTTGAATGTGATAACTTCTGTATCCAGCGAATTATGTTTACATGTAAGTATCATTCATCCTAATTACTTATTTGCTTTTTATTTTAAAGAAATTCCTTCTCTTAAAATTTGGTCCTCTAAACTGAAATTATCTACGTTATGAGATTCTGAGATCACAAATACCTAAGGGCCATAACGTAGGCTACAGATACTCAGAATTTCTCAGTGGAGATAGCAGATTGGTCATGAGTAAGAGAGCCCTCTGGTGAATTAGCTAAGAACATGAAGCAATGTCTGTGTATTAATGGCAGAACAGAAATTGATAGTGGATAAGAAAACTTGCTTTTCTATTTCTATTTAACAAGAAAGTCTTATCAGTGTCCTCTTCAAAAACTTTATGGTATTAAGCTAATCATGCTGCAGGGCTAATTTATTTGGGAAAAAAGGTAAAAATAATCCCTAATTACATGACTTTTTACAAAATTTTACAGGTTAAGTGTCCCTTATCTAAAATGCTCAGGATTAGAAATGTTTCTGATTTGAGCATTTTTTAAATTTTAGAATATATATGTGCATTTCCATAATGAGGTATCTTGAATATGGGACCTAAATCGAAACACGAAGTTCATTTGTGTTCATATACGCTTTAGGCACAGAACCTGTGAGCAACTATAACAATATTTTTAGTGTACTACATTTTGACTATGAACTCTTACATGAGGCCAGATATGGAACTTTCCACTTGTGGCGTCATTTTTGTTCTCAGAAAATTTCATATTTTGGAGCATTTCAGAATTCAGATTTTCAAATACGGATGCTCACATGTGCAATGTAGGATAATTTCCCTTTTTCTCCCTTCTTCTCCTTTGCCTCTTCCACCTTTTTCTCCTCCTCCTCCCCCTCCGCTCCCCCCTTCCTCCTTCTTCTCCTTCTCCTCCTTCTTCTTCTTTCTTCTTTCTTCTGTTTCTCTGCTGTGCTGGGGATGGGACCCAGGGCTTCATACATGCTAAGCAGTTTCTCTACCATTGAGCCACACCCCATACCTTTTCTCTTTAAGTCAGCCTCTCTCTCTGTGTGTCTCTCTGTGTCTCTCTGTGTCTCTGTCTGTCTGTCTGTCTGTCTCTTGATGGGGCCATTCAGACCAGAATTCCCTTTTGGATTCTTTATTGCTAATGTATACAAATAAAACTGATTTTTATTGTTGATGTGGTACTGTTCAAACTTGCTGAGTTTGTTTATTAGCTCTAACAGTTTTTGGTGCTAGAGCTGGGCGTGGTGATACACCCCTATAATCCCAGCACTCAGGAGCCTGAGGCAGTAGGATTGGTGCAAATTTGAGGCCAGCCTAGGCTACATAGTGAGCTCAAGGCCAGCCTGCACCACACAGGGAGACACTGTCTCAAAAATTCTTTTTTAAAAATAAAAAGTTTCCAGTGGATTCTTCTGAATTTTCTGTATATAGTATAAGATTTTGTCATCTGTCAATAGACATTCTATTAACTTTCCATATCTTGCTTTTCATCACTGTCTCTTTACTTTTTGTACTCAATTTTTAAGCTGCTTTCAGTCTCCTATTCAGCTATCTTTGCATCAAAGGTTATATCTTTTCTAGTAACTGTAGTTCATTATTTTTCTTATAGACCTAGTACAACCACAGGTCAATTAACAGAAATACGTTCTGATAAATGTGTTGTTAGGCTACTTATTTGCGTGCACATCACAGAACGTACTTAAACCTAGATATATAGCCTGTTATATATCTAAGCTATATTGTATAGCCCATTACTCATATTGCAAACCTCTAAGTCAAGGTAGTGTATTGAATACTACAGGCAATTTTAGCACAACTTTATTTTATTTTTTTTTGGAGGTTAAGTGGGAAAATTTATTGGAGAATAGCAATGGGGAATAAGAATAGCTCCTGAGAGACAGGAGAGGTCCCAAATGAATGGGTTGCCTGTAGTCTAATTTTAAATATCTGTGTATCTAAACATAGAAAAGGCACAGTAAAATACTAAGCATTAGGAATTTTCCAGATCCATAATAACCTTATGGGATTACTGTTATATATATAATACATTGTTGACCAAAATGTTGTTATACAATGCATGACTGTATATTCATACATCCTTCTAGAGATGTTAAGGTCTTATTTTGTGTTAATGCTGTTTCCTTGGCTATTCCTCTGTTCAAGTTTAATATTTTCTTAAGGTGTTAAATTTCCATAAGTGTTTGGTTATTTTTAGTTGTTTATTCATCTTTTCATTTTCCCCCATTTCTGTGGGGGAAAATTGTTGCTTAGCCAGGTGTGGTGGTGCATGCCTGTAAGCTTAGCGCTCAGGAGGCTGAAGACGGAGGAGCACCATGAGATCAAGGCTAACTTGGGCTACATAGTTGAAGACCAGCCTAAACCACATAGTGAGACCCTGTCTCAAAAAAACAAAAAACATTCCTTGATTATCTGTCTATAAGTGCTATATACAATTACTATAGCCTTCCTCGGGTAATTGTAGGAAAGGCATACAACATGCTCCCTGACATTAGTATTGTAACTTATCTCTAATGCTGCCTGTAGGGTGGCCTAGTCCATAGTCTTTAAAGGCAGGAGAGCTTCATCTTCCTCCTAGATGTTATCTGCTCCCTATGCTGATCTATCTCTTGGCCACAAACCATTTACTCTTCCTATTCTTATTTAGGGGCAGATATTCTGTGGTCTTTTACTTGTGTGGAGGTGGAAAGAAAGGGAAAGAAATGGCTTTTCCTTCTTTGTACCCCATTCAGTGTACTCTTCCATACACTGATAATCCATTGAGCTGTGAATAAGTCAAGACCTCTGTTTTCACGGAGCTCACACTCTAGTTGGGGCAAACAGCCCCTAAACAAAGTAATAGAAGTAAAGGGCTATGATAGACTAGGGGATTACTCTACATAAAGTGGTCATAGAAAGGTTTGTGGTAGTGACATTCATAGGTGGAGATATTTTCAGTAACCAAAAGAAAGCCAGTATGTAAAGGAGTATTAGGAGGTAACATTAAGAAACAGATAGAAGATAGATTGTGTAGAATTTTATAAGCAGTTAATGACTCATCCATTGGGTGGGCCAGGGCTCACTCTTGTTGTTCCTCTCTCTCACCTTAGTTTGGAGCTTTTTCGTTTGTTTCTCCTTTTTTTCTTTTTTATTAGTTAACAGCATTTTGAAACAGTTCCTACATATGTTATGGTCTGCTTTATTTTCTTTCAGTCATATGTGATTATGTCCATATTTGTTTTTCTTGTTATGTTTGGTGATTTGAATTGATAAGTGGGACTGGAACATATATTAAATATATCATCTTGATCCAGTTACTACATAATGAAAATCTTACCTTTAATTTTAGTGGACCAATGCAACACTTTCTAAATTGTAATATCTTTCAGAGGGTTGTTTTTTTTTTCCTCATTGAAGTGGTATTACCAATCCAAAATGGGTCTTTGGAAAATAAAAGCCCATTGCTCAGAATGTTACTTTCAGTAACCCCTTGTCTGCCCTTAGTATTAATAATGCTTACCCAGAACAGGATTGCTTGTTGTCATGTAGGTTGTCTTCCTTCAGACAAATGCTAAATCCTGTTCTTTGTGTTTTTGTATTCCCTTTTAAACTTGTAGATTGTTAGTAACCATTCTCATGTTTCCCAAAGTATTTATGGTTGTGTATATTAGTTTTTATAGTAATTATTATAGCAAATTTATTTTTAAAGTATCCAATAAAATACTACAGTTAATTATAGGATTTTTTGAGGGGAGTTGTATACAAGGACAAGAAAAAAAAGAGATTGATTTTATAGCCAGCATTGTGTCATGATCTCAATTTTTAGAGAATGATTTTATTTTATTTTATTTTATTTTTTTTTTTTTTTTTTTTTT